CAAGCCTCACATGAGAACTGCTGTCATATCAGACAGTAAAAATTTCACTTCCCAAAGATAACTTTAAGAACAGTGTGCACTGACTAGTCATTTATGGCCAGGTTTTAATGCATAACTGCAATTTAATCTTGTAGAGTCGAATCTTTTAAATTACATTTCCCTTGGTCCTGACTTTTATTTATTTATAATTTTAAATTTTACTTTGTTATATTATCTAATATTTATTGAAGGCTAACTATGTGTCAGCTAATATTCTAAATACTTTGCATGGATTATTTAATACTCATATTAGTCTATTCTATAGCATAAGAATCTAAGGCTTAGCGAGACTAAGTATCTTGCCCCAAAACACCCAGTTTATAGGTGGGGAAGCCAGAATACAAGACAGTCTAATTCAAGCCTAAGCGCTTAATAGTTTGTAGATTATTGTGTATTTCGGTAAGTTGTCTTAAATAATTTATAGAATGAGGTGGGAACATAAGTAAATGATTAAAAAACACACTGATGTTTTATAGATGTGCAGTGGAGAAAGGATGGTATCCTAGGAAGAAAGTTAATATTGAAGGTTCCGCTTTTAAGTTTAGTTTTCAATTTTTCTTTACATATTTATAAATTTTTGAGATAGAACTTTCTGTATTATTCAAGAGCTTTAAAATTTAGAAAATATAATTACAGTACATTTTGCAGGAAACTATACAATCAAATAATAAGCAATTAAAGTGTCTCTTCCTATATGCATATTTCTTTGGAGAATTCAAAAAGCATAAGCATGGTCTTTGCATTTAAGAGTTAAAACTAAGGAAGTAAAACTAGTATTTGTAAAATATTTGGGTAGCAATTAAGTGCTAACCTGTATAACAGTCCATAAATCTGAGAACAGTTCAGAAAAGGAAGAGCTAAGTGTGAGATGTCACTGCCAGAGCAGGATTCTTGAAGCAGAGACATTTAAAGTGAATTTTAAATGGACAAAATAATGCCTGTTTTGAAGAAAACGTTATGTAAGAATCTTTAGTAACTAACTGTAAAGAAACCAAGGGAGTGACAAAGAATAAAACTGCTCTATTACAATTTATAACACTATTCTGATTAAAACATGATCTTAATAGTAGCACCAGTAACTTTTATACACCAGTTTATCAACTGAAATGCTAAACCTAGAGCATTTGTCTATCCTGCATATTCATGTGGCAAGCTACTTGTGTTTCAAGGGTTAAGCCAGACGGAAAATTTCCAATATGGATACTAACAGATTGGAATCACGTCTAAGATTTCCACTGTCAGAAGAGGACTGCATAGTAACCCTTTCATAATGTCTTTATGATCTTCCAGAACACAAGGAGAAGGAAAACATGGTTCTTACTTGCTGAATAGGCATACTAAATAAAAAGCAAAGCTTCATAAATACCAGTTCAAGCCCTCCTACTGGTGACACTTAAAAAACCATCTTTCATCAAAATCTTAACCCAGCTCCCACTGATTGAGCTTTCTGCAGAGAAGGACCTGACATAGACCTCATCTTCACCCTTCAGTGCTCGGACCATTCAGCCAAGTACCTTAAAAGGACCTCTTTAGTTACAGCAGCCCTGGGCTGGGCCTAATTTCCTTAAATGCATTTTAACAGCAAGAATAATTTTGATCACATTCATCTCAAAGTTTCTAAGTATTCACAACCAATACCTGCATAGGAAGGAGCATAACAAATCTGGGTTTGATTTGTTATATATACAGTAAAGTATATATACGTCATCACAATCACGAATGTTTAAATGCTTCTTGTACAAAAGCAAGAGAGAAAATTCCTATGGTTTTTAAAAACAGATCTTGAGAAATAAATATAAACGCACACCCCCTCTACTCCACCTAGCAATGCTTTTGGGACTTAGACTCACTGTCTCTTTTTAAAATAAATTGCAGGCTCCTTATGGGCAGGAAATATGTCCTGCTTCTGTATATGGTGCTGCCAGTTGCCTACAGAACAACGTGTTTGCTGCAGATGGTAGCCAAGACTGCTAACAGGATAAGCTTGCAAGAATACTGGCCACTAAATATGAGAAAGATCATGGGAAAGAAACATCCTCACAATTCCCAACAGTATCCAGTAGTCTTACCTTGATCCCCAAATGGATACCTGCAGAGCCTCCTTACTAGGGGCCTAGAGAGGAGGAAATTTACTTCATCCCCATCTCATCTGCTAGTTATTACCAACATGACCTAAGGAGACAAATGCTGAGATGATGATCAAAAGCTCCAAGGAATGAAGGATAACAAGGAATCCTCCTTTGTTAGTTACATATAACCCAAAAGAGGAAGAGATGGGCAGTGGAAGATAGGGAGTAAAGTGCATCCCTTGTCTCCTCCCCTTCAGTTGCCCACCAGGTGATACTAGTTCTTGTGGTGTTTTGGGGAAGAGGCAAGGGGTAACAGGATGAAGAGATAGACTCACCTCTATTTTTTTAAGAAGACTGGTGTGGCACTGTTTGGGAATCAAAGAATGGAAGTGCAGACTATTCAGTGTCAAGATCATCAATGAAGAGAGCCAAAATCCGACTTCCTAGCCACCACCCCATTGAGACTAGGTCTTTGGTAATCATCAGTAACAATTCCAGTCAAGGAATTAAGGAGCATCTATATCATGACAATGGGATCGTCCCATAATTAAATCAGTGTTTTGTCATCATTGTTCCTTGTCTTTACCATATCCTAAGTAGAGCTGCCTTAAGCACAAAGACTTTAAAGTCATTTGGACAATATGTGTAAAGGTAGAAGAATCCAGACTGGCAAAACAAACCTCTTCAGTCAGAAGTGTATTTCTGTGATGCAGGATTTATTCAACGTGGGTGATCCACTATTTTCTGTGGGATGGGTATGGGTCTAACAAAGGCAAGGGATTTTGTTTTTGTTGTACAACCAAAACATACTAAGCACTCACTTCTGCCAGGGAATGAGACGGTCTCCTCCAGTCTCAGACACAAAGAGCTCTTAGAAGTGTTCACAGAGTCCTCTATGAGACAAGGAGTCTCTATGTATTTACAGATACCCTTTCTTACTTGCTTCAGATCAGTAACTAGGTTTCTACTGGCACAGGGGAAAATAAAATGAACCACAGAGGTATAAATTGTAGCCTGCCACGGGAAGCAGAATGCCTGTTTGGATTTCAAACATGGCCAGCTCCCTAAATGCTGGGATAATCGCCCTGAGGTATCCATAAATATTTAACTAATGCCACGGCATACACTTTGTTTCCCTGAAGTTGCCACTCTCCTTTCTACTTCTTAGCTTGGGCACATGGCTTTCTGGCATCTTCTGTATGCCATAGTGGATTCCTATGCACCCTTCAAAATCCAGCTCATATGTGATTTTCTGGGGGGCATCTTTCAATAATATCTTTATCATTCCATCCCCTACTCCTTCCAAGGAGCTTCTTCTGTGTTACCTGGCACATTTTTCTGATTCCATCTAATACACTGTAGTAATTATGTGTTTACACATCCAGCTTCCACAACAGATGGTGGGGCCTTGGGGCCTAAATTAATATATTATTTTTTATTACATTTTATTGCATTTATGACATTCCCAGCATGCTGCCTGACTCTTGTAGCTATTTAATTTATCTTGGATAAATTAACAGGAAAAAAGTTTTTTGATTCATAACAGCATTTATTTTTTTTCCTCTTATAAAATTCCTTTGTTGTTCCTTTAACCATTTCATGTAAAAAGCTTCTCTCTTGCTCTCTTGAGTCATTTATGTCCTTTTCCATCTAATTCATATTAAATTAAAAGGAGAAAAATATATATATGCATATATTATTATAATGTCCTTCTAATTATTATAAACAACCATTTATTATAAGACCAAATTTCCATTTTCTATTTTAAACAAAATCTCCTTTCACCAATTATACCATTGCATCAGGCCTGAGAAGAGCACCTTTAGAGTATGTATATATTTTAATTTTATAATGTGAATAAAAATTATCTCCTTTCAAGAGGGATGGGTTTTTTTTTCATTGCCACAATGGGATTTGATGAATGAGCTTGCATTTTGTACATTTTGTTTAGATGTACAATAATGAGTCTTTCATCTTAGATATCATGATGAGAAATTACGTTCATTGTTTTGTTTCTTCAGTTTCTATCCTCAGGTTTAGGGAAAATGATAATGGCAGTCTATAAAGCTAATGAAATTGTATATAATCACAGACTATTTAGTACAATTACTGATTTAGGAGCCTGGGACATCCCAGAAGACCTCAACTCTGATAATGTTGTCCTAAACCTTTATTTTAATCATCATGCCAACCACCAAATGGTTCAACCAAGCAGTTAACAAGGGTCTTCAGTATATAGTCTAGATTATATGAGCTAATATGGCAATGAGCTTTGTATAGAAATCCAAGTTTTTATTGCTCCTAAGCCACATGGCAAGAGCTTCCTAGAAATTTTTTTCCAAAGTTATCTGTTGAAGGGAAACAGTCCAGTGAAGCAAAGAGAACTCTGGTCAGGATATTTGAGCAAAGATTTAAAACGTTCATGGGAAAATAACAGCTTGACTATAAAGCTTTAGTTGTAAATCACTAGATGTGATAAAAGAAACTGAAGAAACAAAATAATTACGACAACCTTTTTTTTCAATATGTACAGTTAACCTACAAACACCAAAACACTGAAGTCTTTAAAAGATAAATCCTTTTATACTTAAAACTACCTTTGGATGTATACACTTAACAACTGTACATAGAGTTTATTCCAGAGTTCCTTTTTTGTTAAATCACAAGGGTGTAAGACAAATTCAGCTTTGTTTGGCTCAACAAACACAGAAGACTCAGAGTAACTGACGAACCAACCCCCTGATGTCACCTCTTCCCTAACAACCACTTCAAAATCATATAAAACAATAGGTCTGCCCTTCCTTTCAGAGTCAGATGCTCAAGGCCACTAAACTTTTACATAGTCATAGCTTAGTCAGGTAGAAAAATAATTCATTCCAGCTGTTAACTTACCTTGAAGAACTTCCATGGGGAGAACAGTCCAGGCATTTTCCAGGTAGGAAATATAAATATAGCGAGCTGTATTGCAGGCCAGACCAATGTAAAGAACCCTTAAAAAAACAAACAAAGGGAAATAAGTTGAGGCCCTGTATGAGACATAAAACGTGCAAATATTAAGTACATTTTCCCCTGTCCAAACCATCCATTACCCAGCAGTGTTCAAAATTAGGAGTCGGGAAGCTAAAGGACAACTAAATTTAACCATGAACTCTTAGGAATAAGAAAACTGCTTCTAACATATCTGTCCTCAGTCTTTTCAAAACCCTTGTTAATATAAAAGCGAACATCACCCTTCCTGAAACTTAATTAGCACAGCCAATGCTTTTTTAAGACAGTCTGGGCACACTGCCATCTGTAATGACATTACAGGCTTCCTTCCAGGTGGCTGTAGGGTAAATACGCCTGGGATTATAGCTACTTCACTATGACGGGGGAAGGACAGGATAAAGATGAGAACATGATTATGAACGTGCTCTCGCATGCAATACCCAAGACACCACGGAGTTTTATAAGGAGACTCTCAAGGTCATCAAAAACTATCATCCAATGATGAATAATAAACTATTTGGAAATCAAATACTTTTTCCTATCAGTTCAACTGATACATCTTCATTATTTAAAAAATAAATCCATGATATCATATGCTGACCAAACTAATAAATATATATCAACATCGCTTTCCCCCTCACAAACACCACCACCAAAATTATGAGAAAAAAATAAAGACCTTAAGTGGTGCATCCAAGCATAGGGTTACATTCTCTCATTCTGAACTGGATGAGCTGGTTTGGAAGCAAATGGTGGCTGCTTCTTTATACAAAACACAACAGGATGGTAGCGATTTCTCTTTCTAGTTTGTTTTCCATTTTCTGTTAATCTTCCTAAGCATAATGCTTTTCTTTTTTTTTTTTTTTTCTCAATTCAAGTGGATGAAAACTCAAAGGTAAAAGAAATAAGCCAGTAGGACAGTCAGGGGTATTTTCCTAATCTTGCTCAACTACATTTTTATATTAAAATCATTCCAGTAAACACTGTTCTCTTTTCCCAACCTTGAATCAAGGAAAGTAAAGCTTTGAGGCATCCAGCTGGTATTAACTGCAAATATGGAATAGAAGGATGGGAGAAAGACAAAAAAGGCTTGAGGGGCAGAGATGGGATAGGAAATGGATATTAAAAGGGATTTAGGAGATCTTCAGTATTGAAAAGTTCTGGGTTATCATATTCTGTGGACATTATGTTCTTTGTACTGGTATGTTTTGTGGAAAAAAGTATATGTTCCAATCCTGTTGGTAAAAAATTTCCTGAACAAACTAGCTACAGATCCATCAACCAGGGTCCCTCTGCTAGAAAACAACAGCAACAAAAAAAGCCCATAGGAAATTAAAGTGCAAAATATACTACACAAACATACAAGTTACACAAATCTATGCCTTCTTTTTAAGTTCTAATCTAGCTCTGTTAATGACCTTGATATAGCCTAACTCAGGGGTCAGTAAACATTTCCTATAAAGGGCCATACCATAAGTAGTTTAGGCTTTGTATGTCTCTTGCACCTCCTCAACCTTGCCATTATAGTATGAAAGCAACCACAGACAATATGTATATGAATGAGCATGGATGGCTGTGTGCCAATAAAATTTGAATTATGAACAGTGAAATTTAAATTTCATAGACAGTTGACCTCTGAACAATGCAGGGGTTAGGGGTGCTGGCCCCCTGCACAGTAGAAAATCCACATATAACTTTTGACTCCCTGCAGAACTTAACTACAAGTAGTCTACTATTGACTTACCAATAACATAAACAGTCAATTAACACATATTTTATATGTTATATGTATTATATACTGTATTATTAAAATAAGATAGAGAAAAAATGTTATTAAGAAAAACATAAAGGGGGCGCCTTGGTGGCTCAGTTGATTGAGTGGCTGCCTTCAGCTCAGGTCATGATCCCAGGGATAGAGTCGACCCCCCCCCCCCGCCCCGCACTGGGGGCTCAGTGGGGAGCCTCTGGGGAGCCTGTTTCTCCCTCTCCCTCTGCCTGCCACTCTGCCTACTTGTGCTCTAATAAATGAATAAATGAAATCTTTAAAAAAAAAAGAAAAACATAAGGAAAATACATTTGCAGTACTGTACTGTATTTATTGAAAAAAAAATCTATTAGTGGACCCTCATAGTTCAAACCCATGTTGTTCAAGGGTCAACTATAATTTTTATGCATCACAAAATATTATTATTATTTGATTTTTTTTCAACCCCCTAAAAGTATAGACACCATTCTTAGTTCTGGTACATATAAAAACAGGTAGCAGGCCAGATTTGGCCCATGGGCCGTAGGTTGCTAACCCCTGATCTAGCTCATTAGTTCTTGTTAACTTTGGCTATATGTCAGATTTACTCCAGTAACTATTAAAAACAACAGATGTCCAGGCCCATGCTAGTCTCGATAAAGATCTCTATGGTTTATTCAGATACTAAGCCAGAGTGAAAAACCACTGGTCTAGCTCACTCTAAGCAGCTCCCACTAATACTTTCCCATAATTCCATTACAAAAAATTTTGATAATACCTCTTCCTTGTGTTCATATTGCATCTCCTGAACCTTTCTTTTGAGACCACCTCTGAATCAGTTATCCTGACAGGTGTTGTTCAATGCAGACCATAATCCACAGGTCCTAGCCTAAAAGTAACCCAAAGACAATCAGCCCAGTTTAATAGGTTGATTGTGCTTTGCCTTCAAACCTCTACCATATGGAATTCAGTCACTGGAGTCTATAACTTCTGGGACCCTTAGGTCTCAGATTGCCACCAAGAAGCCAGGTGGCTATCAGCTTGATATCTTTCGCCCCTGTCCCACATTTCTCATCTCACAATTGATAGGACCAAACAGATGCCTTACAGGAGGAAAGGGAAACAAGAGGTATCCAGGGCAAGTTACTCAGTTTCTTCCTGTATCAAGCGGAGATAATAACATGTATGGTGCAGGCTTGTTGTGATAAATGCAATACAGCGAATCACCCAAATAGCACTCAGAAAATCGCATCATCATCATCATCATCATCTTAAAGAAAAGTATCCGAGTCCCCTTTTGTTTTCTGACAAAAGAGAAAGGAGCACTAGCATTTCTTCCTCACCAACCATTCTGGGGCAGCCAGTGGCTTCAAGAAATCAGCAAGGGTAAAATTGGGAGCAGAAAGGAAGGCAACATTTTGATCTATGAAAAGGGAAAGAAGTAGGTATGTATTTATTAAATAGTCACTTAAAAGTATTTCAGCAACCTAAGAATCTCTTTAATACCTGAATGCGACATTTAAACTGAGATACTATTCATCGTTACGGGCTGAATTGTGTCCCTGTGAAATTCCTACGTTGAAGTCCTAAGTCCTAACCCCCGGTACTCTGGAGTGTGACTATGTATAGAGATAGGGCCTGTAAAGAGGTAATTAAGGTAAAATGATGTCGGATGGGCGGGTCCTAATCCAGTATGACTGGTGTCCTGGCAAGAAGAAAGGGAACAGGTCAGAGACAGACACAGAGAGAAGACCAGGTAAAGACACTGGAAGAAGACAAGCCAAGGAGGAGATTCCCTCAGAAGAAATACAATCTGCTGACACCTTGATCTTGGACTTTTGGCTTCCAGAACTGTGAGGAAATAAGTTTCTGGTTTTTTAAGCCATCCAGTCTGTGGTGCTTTGTTATTGCAGCCCTAGCAAATGAATTCATGCACACTCATGAAATTAGGGATTTGCTAATAAAAAGAAATTTGGAACGTTTTACTAATCATCTTCTGGACAATTGGATTGTTTATACTGAATATAGAGCACATGTTCAGAGGCCTAGAGTATTCTTGAGCACAGAGAGGTCTGGAAATACAGAACAATAGGGTGAAAAATGCTTCTCAGTGAGATACAGATACCTATTGAACACCTAAAATAAAGAAGTTCGGAGACAACATTATCGCTTTCCTATATCACAACAGGAAGTAAGTATAAAATTAGGCAAGAAATAAAGGCAATTTTAGAATAGGTTGTTGGTATAAGTGAACTTACCTATAAAGAGGAGGAACAGAATTGGTAAGAAGCAAATGATTTAGCAGAAAAGAACTACACCATGGAAAACCCAAATCACCTGTCAAATACCTTGATTCTGTATTTGAGCAAAATATAAAAGGGGAAGAAAAAGTGCTTATGACATTCTAATTTCTTATGTAACCACAATTCACGGTATTGGCAGGACAAATTGGTGGTTATCTTATAATAAAACTGGTACTTTTTTTTTTTCAGACACAGTATTCAAGATATAGTTATAACTGTGATCCATTCTGCAATTCCTTACAAAGTGTAGATTAATTATGATGCCCTACTTTCCAGTTTTAACCCATCTATAATGTGGCTGAATACCCCCTGAAAGTCTCTCTAAACCACAATGAACATGAATTTTGCTCAGTAAACATTATTAAGATACCATGTATGTTAACCATAAACCTCAAGTGTTTGTAGACAGGGTGTCTGAAAGATATAAGGAGAATCAAAGTCTAAGGATTTATGAAGAGATGAGTGAACTTCTCCAGTCCAGATCCAATCTGGAAATTAGTCTTTATTCCAGAGACAACACAGGCTATGAGCCTCAAAGAAACGACCCACCGCAGGATTATCAAACAATACTCAGATCTGAGAGACAAAAAAGCAATACCACACAAAGGGATCCCATTCTCAGCCAAATGAATTGGCAGCAAGCATTTACAAAGCCTCTACTGGAGAGACCTAAAACCTCCTCAAAAAGGAAAAACCACTAAATAAAAACAAAATACCCTGGATGAGGATTGTTTTTAGCAATCAGAAGTGGAGTATTTGCAGATAGACTGAAAATTCTATGCTACCTGTGTTACAAGCCTGCACACAAAGATGCACGCATTCCAATGCACAGAAAGTGTTGCTCAAGGGCCCAGTGGGAGATGAAGATAGACTAGCAACAAGCTAAGATTCAGAAAACATTTTGAACAGGTTACAAACCACTTGGACAATTTCCTCAGCTACATCTGGCTGGAGT